GGTATTGCTAGTGCTAGTGCGATGCCAGTGCGACTAGTACTACCGAGTACCAGCAGGCCCTTCTACTAGCAGCTATATGTTAGTACTACTATTATATATATCGTCGTGTAATGGTATATTATATAGTAGTGGAATACATCGAATAAAGTACTAGTAATATAGTAGAGTAAGCAACTGTGACGGTTTGCTGCTAGTCTTGCTACTGCCTCTTTATACTGGTCGAAACTGCCAGGGCTACTGGCCGCATTTTGTGAAGAAGATGTTCGGCTCCACCTACTCGAAGACTGCCTGGATGCCTGTTCAGCACGATTTGCAAAGTCTCGAAATCTCAAGCTGTAAACCCTCTAGGTCCAAACTAGAGGTAAAGCTCCAATATTGACCATATTGACCAGGCCACACCGCCATCAGCAGTAAGTCGTTCTTCTTGCTTGACAGGCACCGGATTGTACATGAATTGTCGGGTCTCAGGTTATATTCTACTTTAATACACTTATGTATAAGTAATTGGCTAGGGCTCAGGATGTAAGCTTTGGGTTCCTGAGAAGAAGCACAATTTGGGGGAAGCTTGTGGGTCGGGGCTGGGTAGGTAATATATAGATTAGGCTTCAGGGTGATCTGCTTCCCAAGAGGCCTAAGGCTTAAGGGTATGGAAGGGCTTGGCAAGAAATGCGCCTAGGAGCAGCCCCAAATGCCAAAAGCAGAAGCCAGTTTGATCCCACCCCTAAGCGACTGGGTTCTATAACCTTGAGCTGTGGGGCCGGATTTTGCTATATAATATAATAAGTATAGTGTCCCAGAGACTCCAATACCCCTTAGTTAAGGAATATATACCTTAAATTATAGTAGGATCCCTATATAATATGATTTAAGGAGTATTCCTTAATTAAGGGGTATTGGAGTCTCTGGGTGTGTATTATATATATATATATATATATATATATATGTATAGATATAGTATAACTTTATGATTTTTGTGTACATTTTGTACACAAAAATCATAAAGTTATACTATATCATTTATACTATGCTTTACGATTCTATATATATATATACATATATATGTATATATATATATATACATATATATATATGTATATACATATATATATATGTATACATATATATATATATATATATGTATATATATATATATGTATATGCATATATATATATAATATATATATATACATGTATATATAATATGTATAGTAATATATATATATATATATACACAATAGATACGTATTTATATTCTTAGCTATAACGGAGTGAAGTCCCAGCCCTGCCCTGATCCATCTCTCTGGGTAAACCAGACACAATCAGTCAGTCGAGATTGGCTAATAAACTTCTAGTCAGTTCTGAGGCCCTATTAAAAGCACCCGTGTCGTGTAAATGCTACCCAAGGATCTCCGGCACCATGATCAGATGGTTTGGAAGCTCCGATGCTTCCTTGAGTGGCAGAGCAACCCTAGGATTGTTTCACGCAGGTTTCAATTAGGGTAGGGGCTCCTTTAAAACAGCCTAAATGCTTCTGGGAATCTCCTTAAACTTCTAATTTCCCACCGGTTTTTCCAGCGATAGCGACTTGAACGAGCCTAAAGGGCACAGCAGGGACCGTGATTGGGCGTGATCCTGCGTGAAGTGCACAACGTGACCGCCGTGATTCTCTTTTGTGGCTAGCTATGCACCAGATCAGACCCGTGATCCCACGTGATCCTGCGTGATCGCTTAGAGCCCCTGTGTACCCATGAAGCTTTTCGGCCCTTTTCGCACTATTTTGGCCGCCTGCCTGTACTGGCTATGGATGCCTCGCCTAGAGAATCCCTACCCGCAGAGGTAGCCGAGGCCCATTTTGTAGGATACCAAAGTAGATCTAATAGATAATGCACTTGTATGCAGGCCGCTGCTCAAGCTTTGTGAGCCGGAGCTCGTCGACGGGCTGTGGCGGCTCTGGCTGCTGCACAGGCAACCCACGAAGCAAATTTAATGTCTGCAAGCCCTAAATATATAGCCCACCCCAGGTAGGTTTCAATACCCCGGTAACCGCAATGCTGTGCATATCTGATTTAATTTCATATCCTAGGCCACTGCGGCTCCGGGTCAGAAGCGGGGCCACGTCTCAACCACGAAGTTGACGCCTAGCACGAAGACCCCGGATGCGAAACGACCGGTACCCGGCACACCTGTGAAGCAGCTTTCCTTCGGAAGTAGCCTGGATGCTAGATCATATTAGTGGCTATATATAATTATATTATATAAACTATAATATATGTAATATATATATATATATATATATATATACCCAAAGGCTCCATGTACCTTAGATCCTTAAGCCTTAAAGGAGTCCCTAATATAGGTACTTTAAGGCCTAAGTATATACTATACTGGTATATGGAGCCTTAGGGAAATAACTATATCTATGCATATATATATATATATATATATATATATATACCCATGGGCTCCATATAGTTCCTTTATAATTATAGTTTTATAGATCCATATATATATATATATACATATATATATATATATATATAAAATATAAAGGAACTACGATGGAGCCTCTGGGTATATAAGCCCTAAACCCCAGTACGGCCGAAACCCTTAAACCTCAACCCGAAGGACTTGCCTTTAAGGATTTCAAGCAGAACCCTCAAACCTCAAATGACCCTGAAGCCCGCATCTAGCCCAGGTTCCAGCAGTGCACCGGAGCAACCCGTGCTGCATCGCCCGCCGAGCCTTCTTTCGGACACTTCGATTATCGAGACTCCGGGTTACCTTCGAGAGGCCAGGTCTGATTATAAGTAAGTTACACCAGATACATTTTCGTGATTTAAAATTTAAGTGGTTCCTTGACAGGCTCGGGAGGCTGCCGGAGTGCATCGTTCGGGGACTCAAGAATCCTATGATGGGGCTCCTATGGATCTCGAGGAGGAGCTGGAAAGGGAGATCACTAGAGACCTGCAGAAGCTGGATGCCCTTTTGACCTCTCCTGTACCTCGTTCGCTATAGCAAAGCCCAATAGATGTTTCACAATCCTCAGCCCCCACTCCCACATCATACTAAGAAAACCTTCTTATTCCTATTAATTATAATAACATGTATAATGCTAGTGTTAGTTACTTATCAGGCCAAGCCGACCCAGCTGGAGCCCATGGAAATCGATGAAGTAGCTGTGGCTACGCAGCGAGATATCGACGAGATCCTCGATTTCTCTGATGAGATCTCAGAGGACCAGAAATCCAGTGCTTTGGTGGAAGTAGCAGTGCAGAACTCCGGTGTCGACCCCTCGGTGGCAGCTTCACTGCCCCCGGTTACAATCCAGAACCCCAATGCTTTGGTGAACCCAGCAATGGCAGCTTCGCAAGCCCCGTGCCCGGTTGTGAGCCAGAACACCGGTGCTTTGCAAAAAGCAGTGGCAGCTTCAGAAGCCCAGTTTGTGAGCCAGAACGCCGGTGCTTCGGTGAACCCAGCAGTGGCAGCTTCGCTAGCCCCGGTTGTGAGCCAGAACGCCGGTGCTTTCCTCAACCCAGCAGTGGCAGCTTCGCAAGCCCCGGTTGTGAGCCAGAACACTGGTGCTTTGGCGAACCAAGCAGTGGCAGCTTCGCAAGCCCCGGTTGTGAGCCAGAACCCCGGTGCTTTGCAAAACCCAGCAGTGGCAGCTTCGCAGGCCCCGGTTGTGACGCCACAGTGCCACCCTTCTGTGCAAGCCATAACCCTGCTGTGCCGAACACAGCTTTGCAGGCCCCGATTGCAATCCAGAACACCAGTGAGCCGAACCCAGCACTGCCGCAAGCTTCGCAGTCCCTACCGGTTGCAAGCCAGAACCCCGGTGTGCCGAACCCAGCAGTGTTGCAAGCTTCGCAGTCCCCGGTTGCTAGCCAGAACCCAGCTACTGTACCCAGCAGTGCCGCAAGCTTCGCAGTCCCCGGTCGCAAGCCAGAACCCCGCTGTGCCGAACCCAGCAGTGCCGCAAGCTTCGCAGTCCCCGGTTGCAAGCCAAAACCCAGCTACTGTGCCGAACCCAGCAGTGCCGCAAGCTTCGCAGTCCCTGGTTGCAAGCCAGAACCCAGCTACAGTGCCGAACCCAGCAGTGCCACAAGCTTCGCAGTCCCAGGTTGCAAGCCAGAACCCCGGTTTGCCGAACCCAGCTCAGGGTGGCGAAATCGACCGTGTCTCGCAGATGATCGAGCAGCTGCAGCTCTACAGACGTTCCCTTGCCGACCCCACCGGGAACACAGGCGACTTTGAGGCCTTGTCACAGCAACTAGCACGGGCGAACACGAGCGACTTTGCGGCCTACTGGTGTTGCTGGAGACCAGCTTGCTGTGCAGCAGCAAGCGACACAGGAGAAGCCGACCACGGATGTGAACATGCCGGCAATGCCTTCGACGGGCCAGGGGAGCACGCCGCCCGCCCAAAGCAACGTGGACGAGGCAACTCAGAAGGCCCTTCAGATGGCAACCATGACCGAGGAGGAAGCCCAGGACCGGAATTAAGACGAATAAAAAAGCCTTCGACTCCTAGCTAGACATACTATTTCTTTAATTACCTATATCTTTAAACCCCGGCCCCGACCCATAGTGTAAACCACAAAACGTGACTGCAGGAAAGCTCGCGACGGGTGGTCTACATGCGGTACTTACGAAGCTATGAAGGCCAACGGGTGAACCCACAGGGTTATTGGAATTACAGGGTCTTGATTTCATAGCTAGGGTTCGGTTTTCGGGTTTATATGAAAAAGCGAGCAGCCAGCTATATTATGGCCAGGTGCATCCTGCCCTCCAGCGGTGCTTGCAGAGTGGAAGAAAGCACACCAGGGGAAGAAGGGCTGCTCGCCTCAGATGCATACAAGTTTCCTAGTAGAGTGGATGTTATTCTAAATTATGTGCTATTTTTTAAAGCTGGCTTCAGGGTTAGCCTTCGCGATACGGTTTTGTGTGCATATTGTGAGCTGAGCTAAGATGCGAAGCGGATTGCGGACCTTTTCAAGGAATATGTCCTCAGTGGAGAAAACTGGGGGCAATCCAGGGTCACAGCAATTCACCGTTGGACGAGGAGCTTGACTCGAGAGGGCACCCACGAATGGTGGAGCAGGAAAGATACTTGAATGAACTAGTACATGATGTAGTTCGGACACGAGATATTCCTAGAATCCCTTATGCTAGAACGAAATTTCAAGAATAACGACTTAGCATGTTTTACATTTAATTATCTACATATAATTACACTCGGTGTCTCCTTCATCTCAGGACCTGCTCGACAAGTACAACCCGGACACCGTGGAGCTTCTGATCGCGGACAAGGCCGCCCTAAGTCCTAAAGTGGATACCACTTAAGTCCTTATCGCCTATATGCTCGGGGTCTTGAGGTGTTCTTTTTAACTATATATATATATATATATATATATATAGTTAAAAAGAACACCTGAAGACCCCGAGCCTCAACCCTAAACCCTAATCCCTTAATATTGCCAAGGAATCAGACAGCTCGATGTGGATGGAACACCCCGACTTCCGGAACGCCAAGGCTTCGACTGGACTGTATGTGCTAGCTAATTTTTTATTGGAGCATAAAGCCTAGGCGAAGTGTACTTGCAAAATAAATGTATCCCTAAACCCTAAACCCTAAGCCCTACGCCCTAAACCTCAAACCCTAAGCCCAAACCCCTGGACCCTATCAGGAGGAGGTGAGGCGGGAGCAACGCCTCTACAAATGCTGGTCTGGGGCCAAGGAGATCGAATTGGAGGTAGATTCCATCAGCTTTTCGTACGAAAGGGAAGCTTTGGCTCCTCAGCATGACAGTACGGGTGGCACCGAGATGAACGAGCAGGACCAGCGACGGGAGAATCAAAAGAACGAGGTTCGCAAAATCAAAGCCAAGACGACAGAGTCTCTTGCAAAGAGTGTTCCCCGGTTTGCACTAGGCATACTCTCTCTCTATATATATTAAAGGTTTCTTAATTACTAATAGAATGCTTTTTTTCTTTAGCTTTGCAACAATATATTTTCAGGTTATTCAGCTGGGCAACTCCAACCTGCTCACCATCAGAGGCTACCGGAGCAAGCTTGTCGCCAACAATGTGTCTCCCGGCTATAATATACATGCCCTAAACCATAAGAACTCTAAGAGTCTCGGCCCCGAGACCAATAATTCCTGCATTATATTTAATCTCCATGGAGCTGCTATACAGCTCTACCCGGTAAACCCCAAGGCCAAACGAACCTAATCCCCACGCCCTCCGAAATCCAAAACCCACAAGAAACCGTGAATCCTATATGTAGTTAACTATTATTATGTTGTACTTAAGGCAGGAAGCTCTCATCGATGCACTGTGCTTGGGGATGAATGTTCACAACGCCGCTATCCAGAAGCATGTCGGGCTCGTGGAGGATTGGGGCTACAATAATCTGTTAAAGTTCAGGGCACCCGGTTTTTTTTTAAATTCTGACTGTATATATTATTAATACCCCAACCCCATGATCCTGTAATGCTACAATCCCTACTCGTTGCAGGAGGCACTCGCCACCGGCACCGTGGGTCAGGAACTGGAGGACCGTATCCATGGCCTTGGACAAGCGAACTCTAGTTTCAAGACTGGGGCGAAGCACGTGCAAATGCATCTCCGACCCGTGAAGAAAGCGGGGGAAGCTGGTGCTAAGGGAAAGGCAAAGCCCAAGGGTAAAGCCAAGACCGCTAAGAGGTAGAGGCAGAAACTTCTTTTTTAAGTGTTCGTCGATCTGCGAGCCGTAGCACTGGAACCTTGTAGCAACGGTGGCTCCACTGCATGCAAGGCACTAGCCGATAGCAAGGTCCCCTCTAGAACCAAAGCCTATGGTCCCTAACAGTACTGTTCGATGGGGTTAAACCCAAAACTGGCCCAAAACCCTGGCCCTTAAACCTAAACCCTAAATAGGCCTGGTGTTATTTAGCAAATCTAGAGATTCGCTAGGTACGATGTCGAACCCCGAACCCTCAGTATAGCCTACTGTGTTGTAGCCTACAAACATAGGGGATCGTACACGGCTGCTGTGTTGCGAAGCAGTGCAGGGGAAGCTGCAGGGTGTGCTGATGCGGCCATGATCATGATTTCTAGTTTTCTCGGCTGGGGCAAGCCTTATCATGTGCTTCGGGCTTGCTGTTCGATCCTGGCCACCAGTCTTCGGCGGTGAAAAAAACAACGATTGGAATCGTATCCTGGAGTTATGATGCTAGTGCTTAGTCTAGATCTATATCAGTGCCCCCTCGTAGGTGATGAAACAGCTTTTGCGGACTACCTCCTCAAGTCCTTGGGCACGGGGGCTCTTTGGCTGTATGCACCCCAGACTCCCACCTAAACCCCAAAATCCTCGAGCTCAACCCTAAACCCCGATAGCTTTGCCCCCAATATCCGAAGTAACATATGCCCGCTGCCCAGGCTAATTCAGCTGCTGGAATACAAGCTGCAGCCTCCGCTATGGTTCGCGAGGCGAAGGGGCATGCTTCCCCGATCACACACAAAATAGCCAAAGCTGGCTCTAGCGGCCGGTACAAGCAGAACTGTCAGAGAGACATAAGCCGGGCCCTAGGCCTCCCCGTAGCCGCTGGGTCGAATTACTTTTCTTTGTTGCTTTTAGATAGCTGGTATTAACCGGATAGTGCAAGTCGTCTTACTTGTATCCTGATCATGATTTAAGCCCTGCTCCCGAAATCAAGGACTTGCACTTCGTCGACGTCCCCTGCAAAGATGCCAAAGACAGGAAAACTGAAACGACGATGAAACTTCCCATGGTCTTGCCTCACGAGCTTTACCAATACTTGTATGCCACTCAGCTGTGTCTATTAATCCAAACCCCAAGTTTAATTTCAACCTCAAACCCTAGGAACACCCAACAGCAATAATAGCGCCGAAACAGCCCGAACCGAAAGCAAAGCTAGATCCTTTAACACAATATTCTCGACTTTGATAAATTTCATAGCTTAGCTCAAACCTGCAAGAACAATGGAGTGCCCAGTTGCAATCGTATCCCAGGAGACTGGCCGCATTCGAGTGGATCCTGAGGACATCAAGACTTTCTGGAAACTTGCTTCGGAAGCCCAGGAAAGCCCGCCACTGGGTGCGGCTGAGCAGATGATTCCACTTGGGTGGTGGGGGGACGATGCAAGGTTTAACAAAGCCGGTGACAAGATCACGCTTTTTACCTTCAACATTTTGTTGAACAATACAGAAGGAGGCTCAAATCGCATATAGCATGAGTTCTAGTTTCTTATATTATAATTAATTAGTGTTAATCAAGCTTTTCTGAGCCTATAGAAAAATGATCCTTTGAATTATTTCATAATTATTAAATAAATCAAAGGATCATTTTTCTATAGGCTCAGAAAAGCTTGCAGGTGGGCAGATGAAACGCTACCCCGTCATGACGATCCGGGAATATATTTCCTACGGCTTGCGGACCTGGGCCCCAGCACTGCGAGTCATGGCTTGGAGTTTCAATGCTTCTTGCCTGAATTATTTTTGACTTTACCAGTATTGGTAATCTTGGCAAACTATCTAGCTTATACTTAGGGCCTGGGCCTCACGGTCCTATAGCTAGCTACACCCAAACAGCTGACAATCCGAATCTCCGCAAACCTGCTGCCGAATCCTCGCTACACCGAAACAGCTAGCTGACCATCCGATTCTCAGCAAAGGCTTCGGACCGAAGCTTCACAATCCTATAGCTATACCCCCAAAATAGTTGACCATCCCAGATACTCGTATCTGGTGTCAACCCGGCGGTTTCCTTCGACGGCTCGACAGCCAAGCGAGCCGGGGAACCGATCAAAGGACAACCCCGGGAATCCCAAACCCAAAGCTTTTATTGTTTTTGGGTATTGAAAGAACTAGATCGATTCGAGGGACTTCATCACGATTGATGTCGAACTTGCAGGACCCAGAGCAGTACTCTGCGAATTTCGTGGCGATTGGAAATTCCATTATGAGTTTTGGAATCTGAGTGCTTCGTACAAGGCCACTCGCCTTTGCCACGTTTGTGTGGCTTCCAAGAACGGGCCCTGCTCGCTACTCGATTGAGAATATAGCAATGCTATGTATATTTTCCCTAGGCTTCGGCACTTATTGCTGAAAGGACTTATTTTTTTGTCCTACTCAAGCGAAACCAAGGTATGCGACCGATTTGACTCGACAGTTCGCCCGCCGATCTGCTCAGGAAATCATTTCGGATTGCATGAACCCCTCTCTGCGAAATCCGCTGGTTACGGACTTGACTGCTGGGGTCTTCAATGCTGCGACACAGATTCGTCCTTGCTCTATGCATGTGGTCAACCTTGGAGTGTTGCAGGTGCTTAGCGGCTCAGTGGTGGATATGCTGGTGAAGGCTGGCTTCTTCGGCTCCACAGAGCCCGCAGTGGCATTGCACACGGCATCTTTGCGATTCAAGCAGTATGCGAGTGCTCACCGACTTGTTCATTCAGTGCCGTTCCTGACTCCGAACATGTTGGTCGATGCCAGCACTGCAGGCAGCTACCCGGTGCTCACTTTGAAAGCCTTCAACGGCAGGCTTTTCTTGGGGTTCCTTTCGGCATGCCTCCGAGCTGCTGTCGCAAAGGGTCCGAATCCCGACTTGGAGCTGCGACTCGCTGAGAGATGCACGCACTCGTTGCTTCTCTGGTTCCAGATCCAGGAAAATGCACCCCGGCGGTTCATAGACCCTGCCACTGGACAACGGCTGCTGCAAACCGGTGACGAATTCCTTCGCCTCTACCATGGTTTGGCCCAACTGGCTTGCCAAAGAGGCGAGTTTCGATGGAAGATCTTACCGAAACACCACGATCCCTCGCTGCAAATGTAGCAAATGTTTTGCTAGTTTTTTTTTTAAATACACCCTAAACCCTAAACCCTAAATCCTAATGTTCTACTTTTTCTTTTCTTAAATACCCTAAACCCTAAGTCCAAATGTTCTACTTTTTCTTTTCCTAAATACCCTAAACCCTAAGTCCTAATGTTCTACTTTTTCTTTTCTTAAATATATACCCTGGGGCTCCTCGTGGTTTGGTACCTACTTTAAACCTGTTGGAGCCCGAGGGATAAGTGCCGAAACCTGGGAAGTCATGTATACTATGTGTCTTGTACTATGTGTATACTAAGATGCTTCGCCATATCAGCGAGATCGCGGCCTGGGAGCGGGTAAACCCGCGAGCTTTTCATACCTTCCAAGACGAAGACTGCATAGGGCAATGGAAACTGTTATGTGTTGCCTCACCCTGCAACTCAGCTTCTTCGATTATTTTCCATATGCTTCACATAACCCTAAACCCTAAACTAGACCCTAAGTATAAAACTAACAAACCCCGAAAGCCAAGGCAGCATGATGGAATGGCGGTTGATGAGCCGCTACTTACTTCGCTTAGCTGCGACGACTTGAAGCCCTGGTTGCTTACAGCTTTCTGGCTCTGCGACCGCTACACTGCCCTGGGTTTTGTGGCTACAGAGCGGCCAAGCTGGGAGTTGGCTCTGGTTCCCTGGAGTGGCTACAGATGGGTTTTGTGGCTACAGAGCGGCCAAGCTGGGAGTTGGCTCTGGTTCCCTGGAGTGGCTACAGACAAGACTGGGAGTTGGCTCTAGTTCCCTGGAGTGGCTACAGACAAGACTGGGGGTTGGCTCTGGTTCCCTGGAGTAGTTTTCGTACTGCAGGCTAGGAGCTAGTCGCCGGATCCGTGGACCGTCGCAGCAGCAGCCAGCACGAATAAGCTTGGAATTGCCCAGTTTGGCCGCTTTCACTTGTGCTTTTAGGTTTAAGAAGGTTATATTACATATATATATAGGTCTATAGCTTATACATATTTAAAAATAGGGTAGTAGTTGGGCGGTTACTTCAGCTTCGGAGTTGAAGGGCCAACGGGCTTTCGGTGCTGTAGCTCTGCCAGCAGTGTGCTCTGCCACCAGTGTGCTGAGTCAGCAGTACAGGTCTCGATGCATTCTGTCCTAAAGTTGTTTTGCCCAAGCACATAGCTTTAGGGATGGCTATCCACAACGAAGATGTCGCTGAGCCCAAACCCGTGAAGTTCACAGCGGAATGCATCAAGTACTTCTTGAAGCACCGGAAAACCACGATCAGCAAGCTTCACCGTATGCGAGCTGTTCTTTCCGACTCTGTGCCTTGGATAATATTCTATGCTAACCCAACCCTGTTTCCTAGATTCCCTAAACCTATAGTTTGTACTGTTATTTCGTATATTCAAGGCTTGGCAGTCCGCTCGTGATCTGGGTATGGAAGCTGCATCGGTGCTCGAGAGCGAAGAACAGAAACGAATGGCGAAAGAGGACACTCGAGCTCGTCATGTGGAAGTCCTTAATTAGAAATTAGGTGCGGATGCAGCAAGCACAATTCCGCCCTGGCTGCAAAAAGACCGCTCCACGGCCTTAAGCGAAGGTCTAATTGGAAGGGCAGGGGACTTAGTAAGTAGGTTATAAGTAGAGTTACAAGTACCCTAAAATACCCTAATTATACTGACTTACTAAGTCCCCTGTTCTTCCAAGTAGACCTTCAAGCAAGTTTGGGAGACTTCTCGAAGCAGAAGCGAAGCCTAAGTATCCCTGCCGACTGCATTTCTGGCGCCCTCGACCCTATCCAATAAAGCTAAAACTCCAAACCCTGCAGTCTTGAGCTATGTACTGTTCCCTTAACACCGACCATTTAGCTAGAACCCAACGATATCCCAGCCTCAAGCGAATCTGAAACTTTGAAACTCTCACCCGAACGACCTCAAACGACCCGCTGCAGCCCTAAATCCTGGACCCTCAACCCCGAGACACCACTCGAACAAAACCGCTGTGACCCTAAATCCGAAACCGCTGGCCAGGACCCAAACATCTCACCCGAACGACCCGCAGTAACCCTAAATCCTAGACTCTAACTACTCGAACACAACCGCTCTTACCCTAAATCCTAAACCCCAACCCCAAGACCCAAACAGGCTTTGACGACCCTCAACCCTAAACCTTAATTGGGCTCAAACCCTAAACTCTAATTGGGCTCAAATCGGTTATGATCAATCCGATAAGGCTCAAACTCGCTTCGATATTCCCCATTCGGGGTACTGTAAGGGCTTACAAGAATCATGATTTTGATGTGCTGCAACATCTGCAAATCCATATTATTGTATGTCTCTGAGTCTGGCGACGCAGGCTCATATTTAATATATGTTGTCCTTTTCTGTAAACTTACCGGAATGTCTTCTCGCTGGGGCGACGTTGGAGTGGCAGGGAGTTGCGCAAGGGTTGCGTATGACCCCGTTCGTTTTCTTCTGTATGCTCCTTGGAAACTGAAACAACTGTGTATGACACCACTCCTTGTCTTTCAGCGATTTTAAGATACAGGGTCTAGGGCTTTGAGTGCGCAAGGGCTGTGTGTGACCCCGTTCGTTTTCTTCTGTATGCTCCTTGGAAACTGAAACAACTGTGTATGAAACCATTCGTTGTCTTCTTCAGCGATTTCAAGATACCGTTGCGGTGCTTGTCTGGTTCGTGGCATCTGAGATTGATACCCCCAGAGTTCATGGCGCGTTGAGCGATTGTCAAGACGCGCCGCCCGCATGATTTCGATAGCTTAGGCCCTGAAACCCCAAACCCCTAAACCCTAAACCCTAAATCCCTAAACCCCAAACCTTAAACTCCTAAACCCTAAACCCCTAAACCCTAAAACAGCTTAAACCCTAAGCCCAAGCAGCCTAAGCCCGACACCCTGGTCTTGAAACCCGCTTGAAATCCGAAAGTTTGCTCGATGCGGTTGGTGCAGCATTCCAGCAGAACTGATCGGAGGAAATCCAAGTGACAGTCCTGTGATGTACGCCGGGCCCTTACTGCTGCGACTTCTCAAGCTCTTAAGTGATCATGGATAGCGGAGACGTAGTCTACGTCGTTTGCCATGGCTCTGCTGGGGATGTACCGGCGACGGGCTGGATTGTTGAGCTGGCTGCGAGTGAAGCTTTCTTGGCTACCCCGGTGTCTTCGGTCACTGGAGTGCCTAATCAAGCGAAGGGCCTCCGCCCTGGGGCCCCGGCTTCGTCGCGGGCTCGTGTGACCAAGGAGGCCAAGCCGAAGAAGGACATCAAGGAAACTCCGGATTTGAGGACCTTGTTAGCCCAAAGCCTTGCCAGTGGTCAAAACAGCAGCGAGCTGATGCCCCTCATGATGATGACCATGTTGCTCGAGAGGGACAAGAAGGGGAGCCGGCGACGGCGAGATCGGGCAAGCGGCAGCTCCGATCTCCTTGGTGGTGGCTCCTCCGACGATTCGGAGGCCGAGGACGACCTCCGAGGAAAGGGGATGCGGGCGGTGTCCACGTTGCACCGCTTGCAAGCTCAGGTGCAGAAGCGGCCCCGCAAGGTATGCGAGATCTTCGAGAAGGAGGTGATCGAGGAGTTGGGGGTGGCAGCTGGCCAAAGCTGGACTCTCAGAGACTTCGTGAAACGCCAGTCGTGGGGCAAATTCAAGGGTATCTACCGGTGTGCCATGATGGATGTAGCCGCCTACGAGTTGATCAGACAAGGCAAACCCGACCAAGCAGCCGCCCAATTGGTGCAGAACTTGAAAGCGAAGATCCAGAGTGTCCTCGCCCAAGGAGATTGGCAAGCCGCTTGGTTATTAACGGGGTTACCCGACCCAATGGTCAAGAAGGAGTTTGCGGGCACGAAGGAGGAGATGTCCGTGCTGGCCGACTACATGTCCTCCCTGGCGAAGCTCAAGAAGCGTGTCAAGGAGGCCCAAAGTCACAGCCAGCACGAGGACGAGGAGGAGGCGACTGTAGTTCCAAGAAGTGATCACCGATGAGTCTTTGCATGATGGCAGGGCCCTTTGCTTAAAGCACCCGGCCTTGCGTGGAAGGAATTCACGTTTTATCAATTATGCAGCCTGGCTGGAACGCGTCCAAGGTACTTTGCTGGTTCGGGCCGGCAACGATGTGCCGCTTTTCCCTTGTGTTTTGCCTTTTTCCTGAGGTGGCCTTTACGGAGGTTGTTAGCGATAGGGGTCAAGCCCATGAATGGTGGGGCCGAGCCTTCGTAAACACGTTTGTGGCTTGGTCAAACTTTGTGGTGCTTGGCTGCCCGCGCCCGGGGAGCTCTACACTGGAGCCGCGAGTGGTGTACCGAGCGGATGTTCAGGACTTCGCTCTTAAGCTGCTCGGCGAGGTGAGCCAATTCGCTTCTTTCGAGCTGGTTGCAGGTCTTCTTGAATGTCAGGGCAAAAGGTCGGTTCTTGAGGACATGTTGAAGCTCAATTGTGCAAGCTATGGTGGGGCTGAGGCGGGGATTCCTTCGGGGGCCCTTCCTGTGTGTGCCTCTAGGGTGGCGATTCCTGATGCGGCGGGTCGTGTTGACCCTCTGGAGTGGTTACCTTCAGATCAGGCGGCGGTGGTAGGTGATTTGGAGGCGGTGCGCCTCCCTGAGCATCTTTGGGAAGACGTTGTAGTTGCTTGTCACCGTGTCCCAGAGGATGAAGAAAATGACTTGGCCGAGAAGCTCCTCTCGACTGGCATGGCCGAGCTCGTCAAGGAGACGGACCTGCCCCATACTTCCGAGGGCAAGCTTCTTGTGGGCGGCCTTTTCTGTGTTGGGAAAAATGACTCGGAGGACCGACTCATCTTCGACCGGCGGCCAGAGAGCAGCACTATGCCGAGGTTGGCGTGGGAGGAGTTGCCGAGTGGAGCCTGTTTTACAAGAATGCTCTTGGGTCCCGACCAATACCTGCGCGGCTCAGACGATGATCTCCGGAATTTCTATTACATGTTACGACTCCCTCCAGGCTGGGTGCGCTTCAATTCAGTGGGGCGCCGGGTGTCTTCAGATGTTGTCAAGAAGCACGGGGGCACTCCTGGAGTGGCTTATAGATTATGTTTTAGAGTTTTGGGGATGGGGGATCGCAACGAATGCTCGATCGCGCAAGCTACACACGAAGCCATCCTGCGCAAGTTCGGGCTCCTTAGGCCGGAGAACAAGCTCACCTATGGCAAGTTTGTCCCCGAGGCTGACTTGTGGGAAGGCGTGTATCTTGATGACCTTTTGGTAACGCTACGTGTGACCTTAGACTCGGTGATCCCCCTGGATGGCTCCTTTCAGCCGCCTCCTTTGCAGGCCGACGATCCGGACATGGTGCACACGGCTGTGGCTGAGGACGCTTACGAAAAGGCGGGGTTGCAGCGAGTCACTCACAAAGCTTTTCGGGGAGTTACCAGATTCAAAGCTTGGGGTGCCGAAGTGGATGGGATTCGGGGCACCGTGGGCGCTCCAGTGGAAATGCGGCAACAAGTGTGGTCCCTCATTGCTAAGACCGTGCATGCAGGAACAGCCAGCAAAGAGATTTTGCAGAAACTCCTGGGGTTCATTGCCTTCATTTTCCAGTATAGGTGCGAGATGTTCAGTTTGATCCACCACTTGTACATCTTTGTAGAGAAACTGGTGCCAGGCAGGCAAGAAGGTCTGGCTCCCGGCTTTTGTGTTGGACGAGCTGCGCTCAGTGGCCTTGCATCTCCCGATAGCCCAGTGGTGTATGCGAAAGAGATTGCACTCTTCACTTTTAGCGACTGATGCCACGCCCACTTCAGGAGGTGCAGTTCGGGCGACGGTCAGCGCCTCATTGCTCCGTGAACTTTGGAGGCGTTCAGAACTTCGTGGCTCTCCTGTCAGGCTGGATCGCGATAACTTGAATCTCGCGGGTGAGGCTCCAATTGAGAACTCTTGCTTTGCGGCGGCCATCTCAGAAAGCCTCCCGTGGGAGGTTGTCGGGAGCTTCTCTTTCCGGAGAACTTCTCACATCAACTTGCAGGAGGCTCGTGCCCTACGCCGTGAAATTGTGAAGCTCACAGCTGACTTCAACAACTCGGGCACCATTCAGGTGGCCCTCAATGATTCGTTGGTAGTGGTGGGCTCAGTGAGCAAGGGGCGCTCCTCTTCTTTCAAGTTAAACGGAGTTCTCAGGGGTCAACTTCCATTTCTGATCTTTGCCGACGTGACTCTCGCACTGCTGTGGATCGAGACCTGTGCGAACCTCGCCGACCACCCGTCGCGCTTCAACCCTCTCCCGAGCCCGAGTTTGCCTGAGGAGTGGATGCAGAAGTTCGGGGTGGCGCTGGATGCGTCGCTCCCCCCGGGCCTGGAGATTGGCTCAGGCTTTGGACTGGTGACCAGTGTTTACCGGGCTAAGGGCTGGCCTATGTGCTCTGAGGTCAACGCTTACCGTGATGAGGAGGTCTTCAGCGAACGCATTGACTCATTGACGACTGAAAGGAGGTCCGGTGGCTTTGGTTGGCGCCGCCTCTCCAGACCTTCTCTACTCTGCACAAGCCCTGTGGTACAGGTGAGTGGCGACCTCGTGGTCTACCCGAGGGCGACTCAAGCGTGTGGAGGATCGCTCGTGACAACCTTTTGTGGAACCGTGTCCTCGACTTGGCCCGGCAGGTGATGGAACAAGGTGGCCATTTCATCCTGATCCATCCGCAGCTCAGCAAGGCCTGGCAGATGAGGACCACCGAGCTTTTCATGCAGTCTGAGCGGGTGTTTGTGTATAAGGCAGACATGTGTGCTTATGAGGGTGGGTCCGTTCCACCCGCACGTCGCCCCACAACCCTGCTCTCGAACTTTCCTTGGCTCCATCGCAGTGTTCGTCGTTGCCCCGGCCCCGGAACTCACAAGCATGGCGTGTCTGGCGGGGTGGCACGGAATCAGATAGCTGGGGATTTTCCCGCCGGCTTCGTCGAGGAGGTCGTCGGGCATCATGCCGCGTGGCCGCGGGTCACGACGCACGCTTAAGCGTGCGGCTCTCTCTGCCGAGTACAGGCGAAATCTCAGGGACGCTGGCCAATGGTTGTTGGGTGTAGTCTCTGATGTGGGTGGCTCCTTATCCCCCTCTTCCTCGCCTCAAACGGTGGACAGGTGGCTTGAAAAGGCCGTGGCAGTGAGCTATGAGCGTGGAGAGCGTCGTTATTGGGTTGTTTTGGGCGTCCTCAGCATTCAGAGGGCCTTCAGCATTGCGGGCCCGCTCCTGAAGAACACATGGATTCAATTGCGGGGCTGGCGGCGAATGGAACCGATTAAAACCCGGGTGCCGATCGCTTACCATGTACTTTCAGCGGTATTGTTGCTTTGTTTAGCTCGGGGCTTCAGTTATCATGGGAGGTTGCGGGCAGAGTGGTGGTCAGTGATGATTGGCTGCTGGTTGGCTTTTGAAGGCCTCCTTAGACCTGGGGAGGTGGACGAATTGAAAATCTCAGACCTTTGTTTTCCCGAGGCTGGTGAACTTGGTCAGGGCATCAGCCTGGTCGTAGGGATCCGAAGCCCGAAGACAAAGCGAGTTTGGGCACGACAGTTCGCCCTAGTGCAAGAGCGGTCGCTGATTATGTGGCTCCGTTGGTGGGTCACGGATCGGCCGCGCCGCCAGCGAGTCCTACTTATCAACCTTCGTCGCTGGGCTATTCTGTTCAAGGAGGCCTTAGGTGAGCTTCGTATGGGTGAGTGCGGTTACACACTGGGGTCACTGCGAGGGGGTGGTGCTACGCACCAGTTCCGGCGGCACCGCAACTTAGGGCAGCTGCAGTTCGCAGGCCGATGGAGCCGCCCTGAGACTTTACAACACTATTTGCAGGAGGCCTTGTCGGTGCAAGTCGTAGCTCAAGCATCTGATGCGGCCAAACAGCTTTTGCTTCGCATACATGAACATGCTCACCGGTTGGATGCACCGCCTTCTATTAGGCTCAGGCGGCTTCTTGCTCCAGGTCTGCGCTAGGATGGCATGGACCCTGGATGGGCGGCGTGCAGACTACTCCAGCTGTGGACCGAGTGACGCTGCATGGAAGCGTGCCCTCTCGTCAAGTGGCGGAGCGGGTGCGGGGCGCGGCATGGCCAGATCGCCTGATGCCCCAGCTCCCGCTGAAGATATGAATGCGGCAGCGGTCCCGGCGGATCAGTTGCTACAGGCGGTGCAGCGGGCAGCTACAGACTTGGGTGACGCTCCAGTGGATGCTGGGTTTACAGCAGGCAGCCCGTTGGCGAGCGGGCAGCTCCCTTAGAAAGTTCACAAGTGTCTTGGCCCGCATGTCGCAAGCGCTGCAGGCCTGTTCGGGTGTAGCGGTGCCTACTCCCGCCAGAGGCCCGGGGGCCCATAGGCCCAGGCCTCTTCTTTTGGAGCCCACGCAAGCCTCGCGCCTTCGGCAGCCAATCTTGTGTGGACCTTCAACGTGGGGCAACTGCGGCGCCATATGCCGCAGCTGCGATGGAGGACAATCGCGGCCGCCTTGGTCGTGCTACTTTTCCCACGGTTGTGCGCCTTGCTCCTTGCTCTCGCAGTTCGTCTTCTTCTTCGAGCAGTGGCCAGTCTGGTTTCCAGTCTGTTTCAAGAAGTTTGGCTGCAAGTGGTGGGAGCAGCAGCGGAAGTTGAGCAGCAACTGGTGGAGTGGTTGCAAGTGCAGATGGGATTTCTTCCGGCACTGGTTCCATCGCCCCCGCCACTACTTCAAGCAGTGGGGCAACCACCGCCTGTGCAGTCACAGGCATCACCAGGCAGTGGCAATGGTAATCCCCACCCAGCCCGCCCTTTGATTGCTGACGCTGCCACCTGGCTGCTTCTTCTGCTCAACTTGAGGCGCCCGCTCGGAGGGGGGGGCGGGAGACCTGAAGGTTAAGCTCCTCTGGGCTACCTCACGACCGGCTTGAAGGGTGGCCTCTCAAGCGACCGGGCCGCTCCGATGCTCTTTGAGGGCATCCCGCCTGTCTTTGAGGACATGCCTGAAGTATCAAGTTCGCTCGCCCTCTCACCGATCGATGGCGAGCTCTGAAAGCTCTCTTCTTTACTAACGACTCGGTTGACGCAACGCCAAGGCAAAAAGAGTGCGCGCTCGGCAGCAGTGTGGGCAAGTGACTTGGCGGGAATGATGCAGCATTCCAGCAGAACTGATCGGAGGAAATCCAAGTGACAGTCCTGTGATGTACGCCGGGCCCTTACTGCTGCGACTTCTCAAGCTCTCCACCACCTCCCCGCCGCCAGACCTGAAGGTTAAGCTCTTCTGGGCTACCTCACGACCGGCTTGAAGGGTGGCCTCTCAAGCGACCGGGCCGCTCCGATGCTCTTTGAGGGCATCCCGCCTGTCTTTGAGGACATGCCTGAAGTATCAAGTTCGCTCGCCCTCTCACCGATCGATGGCGAGCTCTGAAAGCTCTCTTCTTTACTAACGACTCGGTTGACGCAACGCCAAGGCAAAAAGAGTGCGCGCTCGGCAGCAGTGTGGGCAAGTGACTTGGCGGGAATTAGGGTTTCGGGTTTAGGGGCTCTGAGGGGACCGGCTCCAACAGCGTTCAAAATCTATGCAGCCTTGAAGGAGGAATTTTTGTAGGTTCTTTTTTGGAAGGCTGGGGCTTCTTGGTTATATTCTGATGTTTTGGGTTCAGAACCAAACCCCAGATCTGAAAGCCTAATCCCGAAATCCTGAAGCCTTACCTTCGCTTGCAGCAGGTACTAGTGCCTCCTTCCCCCCCCGCCGGTGAACCTCCATTACCCAAATCCCCCAGCAAGACTACAGAAGATGCATGCGAAATTGCATGCATATATACATTAGCACACAACACATGTGTATGTATACGCGGATGTGTACAATGCAAAAAGTATGGAATATCCAGAACAGGACGCACTGCAAGCTCGATTTGTAACACACGCAGCCATCCGCCCCAAACCGCAATCCCAGAAGAATGAAGAATGGCGAAGTCTGTTCTCAGCAGGGTATATGCACGGAGCGTATTTATGGTGAAATGATGATCCCGGCTGGGCGGGGCTGAGCTTACGACAACGTTAACACAGCGAACCCTAAATCCTGAAAGCTCGACTCCTGAGACAAGCCTCATAACTAGAATGCAGGGTTGTGAAACAGGCAGGCAGGTTGTTAGTCGCGTTTCGTGTTAGGCACCAAGTCACCAAGCCGTCAAACCCAGCACCATAAGCGAAAAATACGTCTGGTGTGAGGTGGATGGAGCAAGCTCAGGAAGAGCGCTCTTCCAGGCCAGGAGGACTGGCCGACGAGGTTCCTATAGGTTTATGTGATGCCTCAGAATAGCGTGTTGACATCCCTAAACCCGAACCCTAAGGCCCCAAGCCCTCGAAGATGTTTTTTTGTGCCTGACGGCCTGGCGGAAGCTTGCAATCTGCTAAAGCCGAAGTGCTCATACTACCATACGGACGAAATGAAGCCTAGGTTCATTTACCATATAGGAATTTATAATATAAGGGTACAGGGCCCCTACTCACAAGGGTCATTTGCTCCTCAAGGTAGATCCTTTCAGAGATGTCGCATGCTGCACGCACATGCCACGCACTCGTGGTGGCTGCGGCTCATACCGTTCCCTCTGTGAGTAGGGAGCATTGCATGTCAGAAATTCTGGAGACGCATCACAGATTGCGGATAGTGCCGGAAGTTCCATCTCCACGTCCTAAGGTGTACATGGCATCAAGAGGCAAGCCCCTGTCGAATCTCAACTATAACTTCAAGCCCTCTAATCAACACCGGTGCATCCGAAGCACTGCAACCTTGATCATCTTCATCCCGCCCCGGTAAACGTTGCCGTGTGCTGACCGAGGAGGAATCAGATGCTCACGGCGTCCGCAGCTTGTCAAGTCGAGGCTCGGACGCCAAGAACCGATCCATGCAGGCGCAACTGTCGCTTTTTTTGGGCTTTGTTCTTGAAGTGGCGCAGGGGGACATCCTTGGCTCCGTGACTCCCAGAATATCTTAACATGGTAGGAGAGCATCCTGCTCCAGCCGTTGGTGGGACGTGTGGGGCTTGAGTAATGCTCAGTGGTTAGGGTCCGGAAATTACTTCCTGCATCCCGCTCGTGGCGAACCCGAGCTATGTCTCCTCAAAAAGAGTTGTCCTAGCTGATCCGTGGCTTTTGAGTCGGACGGAGTTTGCAGATGTCTGTCTCAATATCTTACGTATGGTGTCTATAAGCGAGACAGCCAAAAGCCCTAAACCCTACCCCTAAACCCCTAAACCCCTAAGCCTAAACCCTGTGACCCCGATAAAGTCTACAGGCCCCACAAGCTACAAATAGCTGAAGCCGAGGTCTTCCCCCGATCTTTCGGCTGATCGCGGCCCAAAGCTCAGGCGTCGAGAAAGCATCAGGGGTTCATAGCCATGTACCACTGGGAGTTTAGGGGGTTTAGGGGTTTAGGGTTTCCCTGTGCTGATCTCTGCGCCGCCTGCAAGTCAGCTGGAGGATAGCGGTAGCGGTCGGCCTTCTTCGTGGTAGGGGGCATGCTTGTCGTCAAGGAATCGTAGTCTTGCAAGGATGATAAGGAGCCAAGCCCCATTGACTGAGTCCCTAAGTCCGGGCAAAGGATCGAGGTTCGGATCTTTCCTTTCCCGCTGCAGACCATGGAGGCACCCGGAACCCTTGGGCGGCCAATCGACGTCGAGCAGTGTCGGAGCATCGAAGCCCAGCCGTGCCCGGAACGGCCCGAAGTCATGCAGCGGACACCTGTTGACGCCAAGCTGCCGCCGGGTCTGCGACTAGACTTCGTGAAGAAGGCTTACGGCGTCATGATCTTGATGCAGCTGCTTACCTTGGGGACCAGCCTGGCCTTCGGTTTCGCCTTGCCCCGAGAGGTCCTCGACGCCCGGATCCTCTTCGCAGTCGTCGCAATTCTTGCTGCCCAGCTTTTCGTCGACTGTTCGGCCGGCTTTCCACGCATGTGCTGTCCAGACAATAAGCTCTCAAAGTGGTATGATGGGATGATGACGACCTCGCCATGGGATTTCCTGTTTCTCACCACTCTCTCTGTGGGCCTGGGCGTGGTTGTCGGCTTTTTTCACAATTGGACAGAGTCCGTCCCGTCATGCATGCTTCTGCTCGTCCTTCTGGTCCAGCCTAGTCTTAGCATCTCCTTCTTCTTCCACGCTGCACTGAACAAGGCGCCCTTCGGTCGCTTTGCCTACGGTATTGCAGTTGTCGAGCCGATGCTTGTCATACTCGCCGCCGTCGTTTCCGCCGGACCAAGGCTGTTGTGGACCTGGTGGTCCCTGCTGATAGCCATGAGCATGACATCTTTACACGGCACAGCCGTGGCGTTTGAGACGCAGGACTTGTTTTGCTCCGTTTTTGGTGATGGCAAGCGGCGCGATGTCCAGTACTTCCTGCACACGTATCCGTATTTCGCCTGGAATCAGCAAACAACCATCTTCTATCTGCCATTGTCCTTGCTATTGTTGTTGCTGGTTGGAGGCATCGTTTTGTCGCTTGGCTGTTTTTGCAGCCTTCTTTGCTCTCCCTGTCTGGCTCTGTATGGTCTGTACTCTCTGGGCGCGGAGCCGGAAGCAGTAGCAGACCCCATGCCAGCGAAGCATCATGCAGCGAATCATCACGCATGCCTTGGCACTTGGGTGATGGACTTGCCTGGTGGAAAGCAGGCGACCGCGACTGTGGCTGGCGATCGCTTTGAGTGCGCTGGTCAGGAGTGCGAGCTGAAGACAGGACCCCCAACACACTTTGAGTGGCCCGGTGGAGTGTGCCAGGAGCTGATGTCTGTGGACCACAATGGGAGTGTTTTGTCGTGGAGGACTCGGTCACGCTGGCCGCAAACACTACGCTGGACTCGCGTCCCTTCCTGCCCGAGCGCGGAAGACGGTCACACCATGCAGACGCTGAGCAGTCCGGAGGCTTACGTGTGCGCCCAGTGTGGCAAGGAGCACTCGGCGGCAGCGCCCTCAGTGCGATGGCACAGTCACTCGCATGGTGCGAGTCTTTGTCCAGAATGCCACCCGTGTCCTAAGCAGGCAGTTCTTGAGGTATCCGCAGAGTGGATCTTGGGTACTTTCCCAGAGCTTGCCCGATCGTCAACGGGAAAGGCGAATCCGAACTTCCACGAGATTTGCCCAAGAGTTGCCATGGGACCGCAAGGCCTTGGGTTTGGCAAGACCTGTCCGCGAGATGGGGGACTCGGCTGCAGCATTCTTGATGCCCTGGACGAGAGCCACAGAGGCAGGGCCACACACTTTGTCTCCTGGTGCTGGGATTATACTTTGGAGGACTTCGTCAGCGCGATTCAGTCGTGGATCCAGAAGGAAGGATCCAGCCCAAGCGAGGTGTGCTTGTGGGTTTGTTTCTTCTGCAACAACCAGTTCCTAGGCCAAGGCAAAGAAGCATCATGTTCGCCGTGTGTCTTGTAGTTGTAGGCCAGTGTAGGCTAGAAATCTCGGCAGAGACAAGCAGTGTCGCTCCTACAGCGGTCTGTGCAAGGTACCGCATGCTCGAGTCTGGCACACAGACTGGTTCGGACGATCTGAAAGCCGTTTTCGAGAACCATCTGGACGAAGCGGGTCGGATGCTGCTTATGTTGGACAGCTTTAAGATGCCCAAGTACGTCACCAGAGCTTGGTGCATTTTCGAAAGCTATGTCTGCATCAACAGGAATCTCGACATGTTCATCATCATGCCTTTCAGGTGCAGGGACAGTTTTCGGGAAACCTTGGATGCGGAGGGTGGCCTCAGTCAGTTACGCAAGGCTTTCGAGGACATGGATATGAGATATGCACAGGCGTCCAACAAGGTAGACGAAGACATGATCAAGAAGCTGATATTGACAACAAGTGGCTTCGATGCAGTCAACGATGCAGTCCAAAAGTGTTTGCTCAAATGGCTCACGAGCATGTTCCAAGAAGATCTGCTGAGCCAGCGATGTTGACTCTTGCGCAGTCATCCGGCGGCGCTAATTAAAGATTTTGTAATGCATGATGCGAATCCAGTAGGCCTGATTCCGTGCCGCTGAAGGAGGCACTGCCCGTCTCCAGAGGCCGACAGTCCCGAAATCCTCGTCTTCGTCTGTCCTTTTGCAGCCAACAAGTGCTGGGGATCTGACGTCACAAGCTACACGTGGTGCGCCCGCAGTGAGAAATCGCAGGCGGCTCGTACCAAACAAGGGCACAAATCTTGCTTTGCACAACTTCAAAGAATCATATAGATTCGCCCCGGACAACTTTGCAAGTTGTTTGGTCAACGGCGATGTACGAGCAAGGTAAGGCGGTTTCTGGGTTTCGAGCCGAGGGGCAGGGCGGGCTGAGCAACTTTTTCGGACTGTCGTTGTAGAGCTTCGGAACCACGGCTATCTTAGAGCAGGCGGACGACATCCCGAGAAGCCCGAACTTTGTTCAGGATGGTTTCCACGATGTCGCTGAGCTTTGGCCCTGCATGTGCACTTCCGGTGTCGTGAAAGAGAGAAGCAGCTGAGTCGCTGGACAAGCCCGACACGTGTATTCTTCAACCACGCAGCACCGACGCTGTGCGGTAGTGTAGGCATGCTCAGCCGAGGCCCAAAGCCTCAAGATGCAAATATAGGGGCTTTAACTAGTAATTACCTATGCTTTCTTTCGGGTTCCTTATTATTAGTATAATGGGCCCCGAAACCTTTTTCTAATTGTTGAGGCCCGCCCCTACATTTGGGAAAGAGCTTTTGGTTTCACGTCGCAGGCTTGGCAGGTTCCACCGCCCGAGTATGCTGGGAATCCTTAATCCCAGATATACTCGCAGGCAGACGAGCACTTTCGCCACCTCGAACTCGAAAGAAGGCGCAGCCTTTCGGCATGACAGGCTGTTGGACTTATCTTTGGTTAGTAGGGAATGGAAGAATGGTAGTAATAGTAGTTATAATAGTACCCCATTCCTCCATTCCCTACTAACCAAAGGATACCAAAGGTAAGGTTATAGGATTACTAAGGCCCCTATATTATAGTACCCTTATAGATCCCTTATAGTAACCCTTATAGACCCCTATAGATCCCTTTAAAGGAACCCTATAGATCCCTTTTTGGGAACCCCACCATTCCCTACTAACCCAAGGTAAGTGGATGTTTCTTGGGAGAGGCCCTGGGTCTAATTCGCCCCGACTCCCTCGGATAGGCTCGGACGTCTGAGTTTAAACTCTCACCAAGCGGAGGCCCCCATGGGTTCTAAGTTCAGTGTAGTAGGGTTCCTTGAAAGGGTTATAAGGGTACTATAATTGGCTTCCTTTAAAGGGCTCTATAAAGTTTAGAGTTTCCAAAAATTAGGGCTACCTTACTTTGGGGTCCTTATAATAGGGATCCTACTAATTTAGGGTACTATCTTAGGGTCCCCCATTTTTTGAAACTCCCATTTCGGACTTGACTCCGTTTCGATGGGTTTGTATCCCGGAGCACATGCATTATTACATCAGGGTTTGAAGGCTCCTCGAGCCCGACACCATGGAGACAGTGCTTTGCCAGCCCGAAGATAGATGGAAGTGTCCGCATGGACCCTAAATCCTAAACCCTACGCCAGGAGTTCTGGGAGGGGAGTCTGTGAGACTGTCGCCGACCTCTGGCTCCAAGAAACGTATTCGCTGATAGCTCGCAGAGGTGCCGGCGCCATGGAGGCACCGGTGAGGCTTGGCCGCCCCGCCGACATCGAAGAGCAGGTCCCAGAACGGCCCGAAGTCCGGCTCGCACATTGCGACCCGGTGGGGTTCGTGACGAAGGTCTACGGCATCATGGTATTGATGCAGCTGCTAACCTTGGGGAGCGCTCTCTCCTGGCCGGCCCTAGTTGTCAAGTTTGGTCCGATCTTCGGCTCGTGCACACTTCCACTGCACCTGCTGGGATTTGGGATTATAGTGCTCCACATCGTCTGGAAAATGCTGCAGAGCCGCGCAAAACCACCCATGTCATGCATGTGGTGGTACTGGTGGATGATGAACAAGGTGCCTTGGAATTTTGTTTACCTCACAATGTCCTCCCTGTGCCTGGGCATCACCTCTCTGTTCATGGGGTCGTTGAGCTGGATTGGCACAATCTCGGCAGAGGATGATGTTTTCTCACTGTGCAAGGTATGTGTGCTGTTCGGGCAGCTTCTTCTCACCATCTCCCTGGCCAGCCTCGCCAGGCTAACCAAAGCGGCCCACAGCGACTGCGCATTTACCATAGCCACAGTCCTGCCTTTGCTTGTGGCGATTGGGTGTGCCCTGACCGCACCCCCACTGTGGTGGGCTCTCTTGATTTGTGGCGGCGTGGTAAGCTTGTGGGGAGCCGCCATGGTCTATGAAATCAGACAGCTTTTTGACTCAGTGAACAGTCGTGGCGAACGCGACCAGATGGACACGCCTGCGTTTCGAGCCTGGAACCTCCAGTTCAACTTCATCTGGATACAGGGCTATTTACCCCTCGCGGCAGTTTGCAGTGTGCTTTGCTGTCCCGCTCTCGCAGCTTTCGGCCTGTACCGTTTGGCAGGAGCTGACGACCCCGACAGTGAGAAAGCAGAAGTCTCCCTTCGCGGTCAATGGGTGATGGACTTGCCTGGTGGAAAGCAGGCGACAGCGACGGTGGCTAGCGGGCGCTTTGAGTGCGCTGGTCAGGAGTGCGAGCTGAAGACAGGACCCCCAACACACTTTGAGTGGCCGGGTGGGGTGTGCCAGGAGCTGGTGTCCGTGGACCACAACGGGAGTGTCATGTCGTGGAGGACTCGGTCACGCTGGCCGCAAACACTACGCTGGACTCGCGTCCCTTCCTGCCCGAGCGCGGAAGACGGTCACACCATGCAGGCGCTGAGCAGTCCGGAGGCTTACGTGTGCGCCCAGTGTGGCAAGGAGCACTCGGCGGCAGCGCCCTCAGTGCGATGGCACAGTCACTCCCGTGGTGCGAGTCTTTGTCCAGAATGCCACCCGTGTCCTAAGCAGGCAGTTCTTGGGGTATCCGCAGAGTGGATCTTGGGTACTTTCCCAGAGCTTGCCCGATCGTCAACGGGAAAGGCGAATCCGAACTTCCACGAGATTTGCCCAGCAGTTGCCATGGGACCGCAAGGCCTTGGGTTTGGCAAGACCTGTCCGCGAGATGGGGGACTCGGTTGCAGCATTCTTGATGCCCTGGACGAGAGCCACAGAGGCAGGGCCACACACTTTGTCTCCTGGTGCTGGGATTATACTTTGGAGGACTTCGTCAGCGCGATTCAGTCGTGGATCCAGAAGGAAGGATCCAGCCCAAGCGAGGTGTGCTTGTGGGTTTGTTTCTTCTGCAACAACCAGCTCCTAGTTCAAGGCAAAGAAGCATCATGTTCGCCGTGTGTCTTGTAGTTGTAGGCCAGTGTAGGCTAGAAATCTCGGCAGAGACAAGCAGTGTCGTTCTTACAGCGGTCTGTGCAAGGTACCGCATGCTCGAGTCTGGGACGCAGACGGGTTCGGACGAGCTGAAAGCCGTCTTCGAGAACCATCTGGACGAAGCGGGTCGGATGCTGCTTATGTTGGACAGCTTTAAAATGCCCAAGTACGTCACCAGAGCTTGGTGCATTTTCGAAAGCTATGTCTGCATCAACAGGAATCTCGACATGTCCATCATCCTGCCTTTCAGGTCCAGGGACAGTTTTCGGGAAACCTTGGATGCGGCGGGTGGCCTCAGTCAGTTACGCAAGGCTTTCGAGGACATGGATATGAGATATGCAGAGGCGTCCAACAAGGTAGACGAAGACATGATCAAGAAGCTGATATTGACAACAAGTGGCTTCGATGCAGTCAACGATGCAGTCCAAAAGTGTCTGCTCAAATGGCTCACGAGCATGTTCCAAGAAGATCTGCTGAGCCAGCGATGTTGACTCCTGCACAGTCATCCGTTTTCCAGCCAAGCGGCGCTAATTCACGACTTTGTAATGCATGATGCGAACCCAGTAGGCCTGATTCCGTGCCGCTGATGGAGGCACTGCCCGTCTCCAGAGGCCGACAGTCCCGAAATCCTCGTCTTCGTCTGTCCTTTTGCAGCCAAGAAGTGCTGGGGATCTGACGTCGGCATAGGGGACCCTTCCGGAGTCCCGTTTTAGTACTTTGAAGAAGAGAGCAACTCTGTCAAGTCCACAGTTTGATTGCCTGGTTGAGGGATGCAGTTTCATGCGGTTGCATCGCGCTGGGATCCGCGCGTCAGGGTGCCGTAGATTGTAGATCCGTTGCTTGGTTCTAGGTCTCCGTCTTGTACTTAGCGGTTCATGGTACTCAGTAACGAGGGTTATAATTAAGGTAACTATACTTATAATTGGTTATATCCCCAGTTAGGTACTTATAACTGTACTTACTAAGTCCCATGAACCTCCAAGTAACCCATCTTCCATGAGAGACCTTTAGGTGGACTCCGCGCCCAGCCGCAAGAGCGCAGGTCGGAGAAGACCTGCCCGTCGCCTGAGAGGGGAGGTCTCTCCCTCAGAGATCCAGAGAACCCAATAGACCTCAATTAAGGACCTTAGTCAATAACTATTAAGCCAAATATAGTTTAAGGTATATTCCTTAATGAAGGGGTATTGGGTTCTCTGGGGATCAAGACTAGAGTGAGGATGCAATGATATTTGAGCTGCCGACTCGTCTCTCCAGCACCGGCACCTGGCCGCCAGTAGACGTCACAGCACAGTAGCCCCTCTCATCTCGAAGCATATTAAAGGCCTCGCTGCGTGAGATGGACCTGCTCGACCGCTTGCTTGGGAAAAAGATTGAGTACAGCTTCGGCCTGTCGTGACACTCAGAGCCTCAACTTGACAAAGAACCTGTTGTCGACAGCATGGTTGGAGAATGCATATCGTCTGCAGCAACAACTAGCTCAAATATTCTTCCATTTCGGTAGGAAAACCTTGGGGAAGATATGGAGCTGCTGAAGACGTTGGAGCTTCTGGTGTGGAGAGACACTGTGTTCGTCGGTCGCTATATACAGCGACACTTGACGCTCGATGCAGCCGCTGGATCATGAATCTGGGGGCAAGGGATCTTACCAGTGAGGCGATCGAAAGATGGACCGCTGGTGATGCAAGTGGGGGCGGCCTGATTTTCAATGGTGCCGCGGCACGAGAGAAAAGCAGCTGCATTCTGGATCTGTGCAAAGCATACCCGGTGGTCCAGGTCCACAGACGTTTTCGATGGTGGTGTGTGGTCCTCCTGAAACTTGCTTTCCCATGAGGGGATTCAGGAGGGTTTGAACCAATTTGACCCAGCCTTGAAAGCATCAACAGTCCATGCCCCAATGCAGCCTTTCTCGTGCGTTGCCAGGAGCCTGGCGAAGCACAGAACCTCCAACATCCTTAGACCGGAAGTCCTCAAAAACCTGATGGGTCTTTTTTTGTTTTCCCTTCAGAGGCTTGGCTTTGCCCTTCTATGGGATCCTCGACAAAGAGGCTCAGCCTGTGCGACTTAAAGCCCACAGCAGCCAGCTCCCACTCAAGTTCCAAGCGAGGCGGCTCCTAGCGGCTAGTTGGACTGATCGCCGTTTGAAGCTGGGAGTTCGGGTCCGCCTGAGCCCCCCTCTCAGCTGGAGCCTGAAGCACCGGAGGCAACGAGGCCGTTGAAGCAACGCCTACACGTGCCGAGCGGCTCTCACCAAAGTCGGCTTGCCAGCCTGCCACCTTGTCTTGCTGGCCCTCTGCGAGCTTGCCCTTGCCATGCTTGAAGGCGCAAGGGTCTTGTTTAGGGTGACAGAGCAGCCTGCCTTTCGCAGCATCTGCAGCTCATTCTAGCTGCTTGCCTTCACACACCTCGTTTAACCAGGTAGTTGGGCGAAAGAAGGGCTTTTGCAGTAGAAGGCTGCACGCGTCATGGTGCAGCCGGGCTCAGTCGTATCCAAAGATGGAAGGATTGATTTCGATGTGTAATTCTGTGTGCAGTTCGGATAGATATGAATAGCAGGTGCCTCAGCGAGTATCACGGCTTACTTCGGAACATCAATCCAAACCCATGCCGGATGCACAGCATGAGTCGCCAGCATTTGCGCACATTGCTGCACCAGAACCACTCCAAAGACCCATTGGTGAGCGGTGCAGCATGCAAATGCTCATGTTGCCAAGGACCCTGCATGCACAGGTCCCTCATGATCAGTGCAACAGCTGTAGTTGCGGTTGTTGCAGTCTTAGGTTCCACAAGGACATAGATGTCTGTAAGCAGCTTGTTTGCTTCTTCACTTAATCCCAACACTGGGCATGCACCGAGATACTTACTCGACCGCACGTGCATAGGTGGTCGAAAGAGCCCAGGATCATAAGCTCGAAGCTTCGTTTTATGTCCAGTTTGAACAGACATAAACCCGTTCCTCAGCGAGTCTTGCAGCTGCACGTCCAAAGGCATGGAAGCGCCAGGTTTCGGAACACCTCATAGTCGGCCACTGGGTTTTCCGAAGTTTTCCGGAGGATTCGACCACTTTCGGAGCCGGATGTGTCGAGTTCCTCGCAACACCACCGGGACCCGCGCGCCTCGGGCACCTTCCGGTCCTTGACATCAGCTACGCCTGCCGGGGCTGTGCATAGAAACTTGGCCAACTCCCGACTCCCGGCTGATCCCCTGTTTTGTGCCCGTGGATCTAGGTCATGTCCATGTCTACTCATGCTCGTCTTTGTCGCGACCCGGTGCCAACTTCCAACTTGCTGGCACCGAGCAGCTCGCTGTGCCACTGATGCTCCAAGTCGCGCTTTGCGTGCTGGGAGCAAGCATCGGGCAGTGTTTCGGCCATGCAACACGGCGGATCTGTTTAGTCTACGCGTCTCGAGCAGTACAACAGCCTTCCCACCTCCTAGCCGGCCTCAGTGCGCCACATAAGCATAAAGATCCCGCCCAGTGATCCACACGCTTCCACTTTCTTGGACAGGGCGGAGTGATTGGTGAGCCGGAAAGACGTTGGGGAATCATCAGGCGGTCGCCGCCTCGAACTCTTGATCATGATTTTATCCAGGACCACATGAAGATATCACCAAGCTTGTTGCTGATTAGTTTCTGTAGACCACATAAGGATCTGACCTTTTGTCGTCGTGCGAGAGGTGGACCTAAGAACAAGATCCTGCCGCCCATGAGATCTTCACGCGCAAGTTCCTTTATGAGCCGGGCTTGCTTCCGAAAAAATGCATACCGAGAAAGGTGGAGGAGTGGGCTGTTCAGCTCGTGATATATCGGTATTCCTCAGCAAATTAAACGCCAACGGCGGCGGGTGGTGGAATTGAAGCCGATGCCGTGCTTACAGGACCATGATGCAGAGATCTCAGCTGTGTCCATCATGTCACACCTAAACCCTGACCCCTAAACCCTAAACCTAAACCCCTGAACCCCTAAACCCCTAAACCCCTAAAAACCTGAACCTCTGAACCTCGGTGCTTGCGACGTGAACCTGTTGCCATTCCCGTGGCGAGGCTTCAGCCCACAGTCTCGAGACTGTGAGTCTGCAGCGATCTGCGTTGCATTGAGATGTCAACTTCTAGAGATCTGTACGGTGAGAGCGCATCGTTGCAACAATCGACGGATGGACTCGGAACCTCGTCTGCAGGGTTCTGTGTGCATCTTTAGCATCTCTCAAGAAATAGTGCCCAATGCCAGAGAGACCCCATGAACTGAAGATGGGTGTAGGGATACAGCAGCAAGTGCAGTAACGTTAAGGTGGTGGGTTTTGAAGCAAAGTGCCAATCATGGAAAAGGTCAGAGCAGAATAATACAAGTAAGAATAACAAATAACTATGACTATAACTCTATTAAGGAACCACCCCAAAGTAGTAGGCATAGCCCTGCTCTTCAGGGGAGGTGGCCTGGCTGTGCACCACTGCGGCTGATCAGAGAAAATCAGGAGCCCATGCATGGTCGGAAGCATTCATGTGGGAGTTTCCATAAGGGGTACTTCATCTTGGGTCCTTATAATAAGGATCCTACTATTTAGGGTACTATATTGGGGTCCCCTATTTTCGGAAACTCCCATGTGATGTCTTCAGCTGCAAAGGCTGCGTGTGGTTTGAGTGATCTTCCCCTGGGCAACCTCCTGCGAACGTATGACTGCTCAGAGCCTCATCCTATCCGAAGTGTCTTGGTACCTCCGCGGCTTGTTGCCGGCTCTGATTCCAACGTCAGGCCTTCATCGTCAACTGAGGTACCGCTGTTCTGTACTGGCTGCGGTGAACTTCCGTCTCACAGCCATTGCACGGATCGAGCTACAACTTACGCAATCACGAGGATCTCTCTTCCATAATCGATGCTGCCTGTTGCGGGATGCCGGGGGGGTGTCGGGATCCGGAAGGTTGCTGGCAAAGATCTGCATGTGTACCCGGCTAGCAGCATCAGAGACTGCCCTCATCGGACAAGCAAGGACAAGAAATGCTTCACCCCGAATCCATCAAGGAAGAAGGAAGGTCACCGAAGCTGTCTCCAAAGCTAGCTCGAGGGTATCCTTTGCCGCTGTGGTTGTTGGTCTTTCTGTGGCAGCCATCTGTCGGTCGGATAATTCGAGCACGTCAATTTCGGGCATCTCTGCCGCCTTAATGTACTGACAGTACAGGTTAACCCGTCCCTATGCTCCTGGCAATGTGTTCCAAATCAGGGTGGCCCTGTTGTTGAGGCTTTCCGAACGGCTTCTGGGTTCTTTCAGAACTTCTGTAGTCAACTATTGAACTACATCACTTGTACCACAGGCATCTGACTGTCTGTGGGTGGGTTGGGATCCGGAAGGGTGCTGGCAAAGATCTGGATGTGTACCGGGCCAGCGGCATCAGAGACTGCCCTTATCGGACAAGAAATGCTTCACCCTGAGTCCATCAGGGAAGACCACCGAAGCTGTCTCCAAAGCTAGCTCGAGGGTATCCTTTGCCGCTGTGGTTGT